AAAACAGAAACATTGCCAGCTAAGTAGCAGACTGGTTTGCTATGTACGTTTTGAGATCGGAACGCGATAGGAACAAGTTGGGTAAAACCAACTCAGCAGGTGACGTCAAACTATTAGTGAGGGAGTACCCCAGTGAGACATGTTAAATATAAATCATTCAGTCTTATAAATTGTTGTATGACAATGACAAAAATATTGAAACAAATTAAACAAAATCTATGTGCTGACGCAGTCTCACAAGTTAGGACACCATTGCTGGTGTGTCGAATGCTTGGCTTAGTGCATGTAAATGGGCGAATTTAGCCGAATGACACACCCTCGCAAAAATAGTTTGATCTAACTCGTTCTACCGGTAATTATGTAACAAATGAGAGTGAGTGGGAGAGTGGCAGATAGGGGCCAAATAATTTGAGCTGACCCTATAACGCAAACCTGAGTAGAACTGGAAACCTTAGGTTAACTTACAACCATTTCAGATTACCCATGGCATTGTGGCTTATCGTAATTATTTTATAAAATAATGTATATTTAAAGTATGGCAATGACGACCGCATTCAGGGTGCATTTTATTATGCATCTTAAGGTATCCTAGACTAATGTTGTCAAGTAATAAGTTGTTATGATGGTAAGATGGTTTTTAACTGTCATTTTGAGTTAAAATATTTTGTAAAATGAAGGTGAAGATGATTTTAAACCACATCTACCAAAGTATTTGATATTTCAAACTATCAAACTGGATTTGAAAAATATAAATTTTATGCAAAGTTGCTGCTATTCACATATAAATTCATGTACATGTATGACCTTGTTGTGAAATTGACTTGTTTGAGTTACCACAGTCCACTACCAGCAGAAATGAATTTCTCAGCTTGAATTTTATTTCCTGGTAGGTTACATACAGATATACATGTATATAAATATTAAAAATAATGAAATGATGGTATTTGTAGGATTTAATAATTATATTGTACCCATGGCGATGGAAAATGAACAAAGAAACCATTGATGCGACAAATGTCATATGTAAACTGTAGCCTAAAGTGGGAAAGTCCCTTCGTTTCATTATTTTATTTAAAACATTATGTTTCGATGTTCTGCCAAGCTAAGCCAAATCATGGTGCCCCCCCCTCCACGCCCGTTTTAGTTTTGGAAAACTGTTCAGTTCACTCACAGTCTCCCTCTCTCTGGGGGTCTGTGAATTATTCTACATTTCACCTGTGTATATTGGTTTCTCCTTTTTTTGGGAGTATATGGTCTCATTGTTTCACCTACCATACTCACCATGGGTCTGTCTGTGGATCAAAAAGAAAGACTTTTTTGTTTTCCGCTAGTGTCATAAATTCCAAATGTCTACAGCAAGGAAAGTCAATAGCGCTATGTAGCTTGTATTACCATTCAAGGTACTGGATACAAAGGGCATCTATGCAGAGCTTGTATTACAGTGGCAAAATATCAGTATGTCTCGTTTTGAACCAGAGATCTTCCCCAGGAAGCATTTCCTTCCCAGGCTGAATTGCTGATTTAATTTGTGTGGCCTACCTACATTGAAACTTTTCATGAGTACAGTGTATATATATCGTAATAATGATATGCAAATTAGGTAACCTAACTAGAAAAGGAGACTATAGTAGATGTGGTTTAAAATCATCTTCTTGTATTTCATTATTTTTAGTTCTCTAAATTTAACCTATTCATTAACAGTTCCGTCTTTTCATCACAAATTCACAAAATGGTTCTGTTTATAGTCTGGAATTTCCTTCAGAAAGATTGGGACAAAAGTAGCCATATTTTTTTAAGTAAAAATTGACAATTGACTCAAATTTTTTCTGTTGGCTTAAAAATTAGGAATTATTTTCATAAGAAAAAAGTGTAGACAAATTTGGGCGAGTAAGTCTGGTATTGAAAAGGTTAAACAAATATTTATCTTGAATTGATTAAATTGAGACATTCTAAAAGTTTGGGGGGGATCATTATATACAGGGTTTGCACTAGTGTCTCGGCAAGATGAGTCCCACTTACAAAATTTTAAGAAATTGAAATTTGACCCTGGATAACTTTTTTAAAGATTGGACCCCAGCTTGCCTGAAAAACTGGGTCCCTCTTCAATAATTGGAGTCTGTAATTGTACCGGTACTCATAATTTGAATATTAAAGAAGAATTTTTAGATTACCATACATAATTATAAATTAAATAAAAAGTGTAGAAAATGTTTTATAGTCTGGAAGGTCAGGATTTTTTGTATCAAATTATTTTTGAAAAATTTACTGAAGTTAATCACGCATTAAGTGCATGTACATGTTTATATTGTGAATGCTTATAAGAGTTTAGACTGATCTGAGGTCATGCCTAGAAGTTGTGCAAATACCCACTGTATGAGTGTGTATTTAGTGTCATTTATCATACATGTACCATACCAGCGAGTGTGAGTTGAATTTCCCCAAGGCTCCATATTGCTGTTAAGTACATGTACAAATCATGTTTGTTTTAACTTTATTTGTTTGTAATACTTGATATCCGCTGTTTTGTCAAGTACCTCACTCAAGTGTTTCAGGAAATTTCACGTATACCATTCTAATGTATGTTTACTGCACCCTACCCAATACTGTATTTGCTCTATCTGTTACTGGGAAATGTTTTTTTGACCATAGTCCAGCCAATTGATATAAAACCTATGTTAGTGACCACTTTTAGGCAGTCCCATGGCATAATGTATGAGCAAGCAGTGTATAAAGACCACCTGTCTCATGTGACCACCGTTTCAGCAACATTTTTGCAGATTCACCTTTGTTTAGAGACCAAAATAATACAATAGTATTCTGTTAATAAAACAATTTCCCAGTCAAACTTATTTTATTCCCAGTCAAACTTAGTTTTTTGTTGTTGAAACAGTACCATCTCATTTTTTTTCTGAACAAATATTAGTATTACCAGTATGTGAAATATGAGTTTGCGATCCATGAAATAATAATCTAACTTCTGTATCACACAATTACATGTACAGTATGCAAATTTGGCTGAATAAGATGCAAATTGGTCTCCTTACTTCAGTGTATTGTAAGGAAGGATAAAGAGAATTCAAGACAAATTCATTATTTTGTATTACAATACAGGGCATGTAATGTTATTACAGTATACATGTGCAATGCATTGTGGGAGAGATCTTCCCATTGTATACAATGGAAAACTATTATCACTGGAAACCCACTACCCGGGTAAATTATATGTCAAATTTTTTTAAATGTTTTAATAAATTATGATTCATATCGATAACAATTTATGACCTTTTCATCTGGTGTCAATGAGCAACATTATAAGATATGAAGACAAAATGTCACCATAGAAACCAATGATTAAATGCAAATTTTGATTCTTTTTAATGACATTTCAGACACTTCAGAGTTTTATGGTAATATTTGAAAATAGTAGTGGTGCATATTTTGGACTCATTTGTGTCTTGACATCATATCTCGCAACATTATACCATAACATAATGCTGAAAGCCATCAACATCCTGTTATTGAGAGCAAGGCACATGTCAAAATGGCCGTGGCAAAGCTTGGCCATCATTTATATTCTGTACATTGTATAATGTATTGTTCAACTTATTTCACATTAATAAACCATATGCCAGTTAATATTATCTACTGCAAACTGTTTTAATTTCATGTGAAACAAATTTTCAGTGAAATTACCTGTGAAAATTTTACTATGGTCCTAAACCGACTTTCATAAAATTTTGTTCTCAAGATGTCACATAAAGTTGTTTTGTGATCATTCAGATTGACAGGCCAAAAAATGGTTCTGATAACCCTAACTTTCGTAAAATTAATTACCAACTTTAAACTTTTTTGGGCAAACATGAACAAATTATACAAAAACATACAAGATTCAAATTGGAAAGACTTTACCATAAACTTCAAACAATATTGTCTAATAAAAAAAAATAAAAACTATTCTACCTATTATTGAAGTACAGAACCTCATCGTTTATTTTTTTGAACCAAATTTTGTATTAAACTCTTTAAAAACCAAAATCAATATTTGTGTTTCCATTTTTTTTATGAGTCCATTTGAACAAAAATTAAAGAAAAAATTGCCGGGTATAGAAATAAAACAATTTGCAAAATGTTGCTTGAAAATTGTAGCATAAAAAATAATGGTGCTGAAAGGTTAAATAAAAAAATGATTTGGTAATTTTGTTTTTTAATATCTTTTCCCAACAAATTGATCGCTTATCAAATAAAATGTGCGCACAATATACCTACAATTCTATTACCAGGTGTAACTTACATATTTGCTGTGGGTGACGCATAACATACATCATGATACATGTGACAAATACTGACATACGTGCCATGCAAGCCATCCCAATATCAGCAAATAATGATGCAATTCAATAGCTATCAAAAAATTTACACGTAATGTTTATAATAAATGATAAAACCTGTATAAACTCGATAATTTCTCTTCTCTGTATTTCTGCTTCTATTAAAACTCAGTGCTTTTTTTGGTCACTTTGGTGTGCGTTTTAGGCAGGCTTTTTCATTGTGCATGGAATTTAGATTTCTCCTGAGTTAACTGTCCAATGATGGTGGCTAATTTGCATATCAATACTATCTAATTTGAAGATTATTATTATCATCTAATTTGAATATTACTTTTGTCTTATAAATTCATATAAATAATTTTAGAACCAGTAGTGAGAGTGATAATTTTATTTCCAATATGAGCAACAAACATGTCACTTCCCAGTCTTAATACCAGACAGTGACTGTGTCTTGCAATGAGTTGGGAGCATTAATAGTGTGTTGGTGTTGTTGTTTTTTTTATTTGTTTTATGATGTATAACCATTTTTATCTTCTCTGGGGATATTATGAGTTAATAAATATGATTACTAATAAGCTTACGGTATTCAATCCTGGCATTTCTGTGTCAAGGACAGTTTTTTCTACGGCAAGATTGCTAATTTCCTGAATTAAAAATATGTTGATTCATTTGTCTTGTTAATTAATTTTGTTTCCACAAATCCAAACATTCTACCCATAGTACAAAAAATGTGTCCCACCAAAGGTGCTTGAAATGTCCTTGCCAGGCTTTCATCCAACCATCTGTCATATAATCCAGGTGACAAATTACATTTCACAGGCTATCCACATTTACAATAAAATTTCAATATTGGTTTTTAGACGTCAACCACTTTCATTTTCTGTCTATACATTATATAGCTCTGAAAGCCTACTTTGCACATCACTTGAAAGCCTCCATGGATTGCTAAAATGAATGTAAAAATCAATGGCTGCTGGTGGTGTGTTGAAGACCTGAAACGAACATGTGGCTTCAAGTATTTGAGATAATAAATACACATCATGAGTAACGTGTTATGGAATCCATAACACGTTACTCATGATTCAGGGTTTGTGCTAGTGTCTCAGAAAGAC